TTTTGGAATTTTTTTACCCCCCCCCCCCCCCCATAAGCTTATTGAGTTTGCCACTTCTTTACTCTTTAATCTCTGCGAAAAATGTATATCAATCAGTTTTATGTTCTGTTAGTCTTGTAGTTTGGCAGGCTGACATTCCAGAGAAGTGTTTTAACATAGCTAAAGGAATTTCAGTCACTTGGGTGATTGGTGACTTATTATTACAAATCATTTTAAACTAATGTATCTCAAGAAAAACACACTGATCCTTTTAATTCTTTAATTGTGCTTAATAATAGAAACAGAAGCTTTGTGTCTAGAAAGACTTGATAATTGAGGCTTATTTGATAGCCCTTTTGTAAAGTGTTGCAGTTAACTAAAACTGCCAAATCGGCATTCATAAAGTGAAATGACAGCACTTTCTTTTTCCCATGTGACTTTCATAGTCCATAATAATAAACTCCAAGGGAGGTTCTTAGTCCTAAAGTACATGTACCTGCCTTCAGTATGATGATGCTCTTGCTATCAATATTTTTTTTTTTTAAAAGATGACCGGTAAGGGGATCTTAACCCTTGACTTGGTGTTGTCAGCACCACGCTCAGCCAGTGAGCGAACCGGCCATCCCTATATGGGATCCGAACCCGGGGCCTTGGTGTTATTAGCACCACACTCTCCCGAGTGAGCCATGGGCCGGCCCGCTCTTGCTATCAATATTAATAGCAGTGGTTTCTTACAACCCATTTTTTTGAGGAACTAGGTATTAAAAGAGTGCTTGGCTGTTTTTCCCTGTTTAGGTTTTGGATTACCACTTTAAGCAGTAATATTTCTTAATTCATAGCCAAGATGACATTTTAAAATTTTTTTGGCAGAGCAGTTTTGCTAGATAATAATTTCTTAAATTCCTTAGTAGTAGTGATGTCGCTGCCTCTGAGGAAATTCTTGCTTTGTAAAATATTGTAGGATATATAGTATAAACTCTAGATTATATAATTAGATAGAGGCTAGATTTGTCTCTTCTAAGAAAGTGGTTGGTTGATCAAAGGGAAGTGAGATTAGTAGATTGATTCTAGTCCAGCAAAAATATAATTTCAGATGCTGAGTAAAGCTCGGCGAATACAATTTATTTTTGGTAGATTACAGGTGATATTTAACTAAACTGAACTTAAAAATAAATGAGTTTAAAAATTACATGTTAAGTAGTGCCACTCTTGAGATTATTTGACTCACGTTTGAAATGGACATTTTTTTTTAGTAAATAATAGTTGATGGAGGATACAGGGATGCTTATTTCATTTTACTCCTAGTCTCCTTGGGGAAAATAACTGGATTGTCACTTATGTTGTTTAAAAATTACATGTTAAGTAGTGCCACTCTTGAGATTATTTGACTCACGTTTGAAATGGACATTTTTTTTTTAGTAAATAATAGTTGATGGAGGATACAAGGATGCTTATTTCATTTTACTCCTAGTCTCCTTGGGGAAAATAACTGGATTGTCACTTATGTGAGGTTACTTAAATCCTGTTAAGTATTGATGCATTCAACTGTAAGCCTGTAATTTTCTCTTTCACTGTTTAAGGAAAACAGGACTATAATAGTTGGAAATATTTAATTATGTTGTTAGTGGCATGCCTCTTATTATTCTTGGTCTTTCCTTTTCTGTTACTATACCAGACTTTAGCACCATGCCTGCCTGGTGTGTGGAGGATACTCAATAAATGTTTTGAACAGTTGATGAATGGCAAAGTCAAAGAGTTTTAGATTGTAAACAGCATTTTGTAATTATGTTGCAAAAATTTAGGAGAAAGATGTTGATTGCTCTGAGCTGCAGTTTTCTCAGTTATCTTCTATATTTTGAAGATTCCTATATAGTCGTTCCTTGGTATCCGTGGGGGAGTAGTTCCAGGACCTCCTACAGATACCGAAATTCATAGATGCTCAAGTCTGTGATATAAAATAGTGTGGTATTTGCATACAAACTATGCACATCCTTCTGTATACTTTAAGGATTACTTAATAATACCTAATGTGTTGTAAATGCTATGTAAATAGTTATACTGTATTGTTTAGGGTATAATGGCAAGGAAAAACGTCTGTACATTTTCAGTACAGACACAATTTTTTTTCACAAATATTTTGGATCTGCGGTTGGTTGAATCCACAAATACAGAACCCACAGATAATGGAGCGTCAAATGTGTTGGATTATGTAAACTACTTTGAGATCTTTGGGGGAGGAAGTACAATAGATATGCCATTTTGTGTTATGTTTTAGTTCACAGAATGGATTTGTTTACTTAGAATGGGTGTTAGACGTGTCTTGTCAGCATTAGGAACAGTAGTCAATTCAGATCATTTCTTATGCATTTAACATTTCTAAAAGTCAGCATAAAAGTTTTTGGATGCAGGAGCTCATTCTTTATTATGATCAATTCAAAGTTAGGTTAATTTTTCAAAACATTTTTTTTTGTGTGTAGCAGAAATGGAAGAAATGGAATTCAAAAATGTGAGTGTTAACAATATTTCAGTGGTGATGCTGATGATAAAATAGTAGCCAATATTTGCATAATGTTTACTGCTTGCCAGGCAGTGTTCTAAGACATGTTTAATCTTTACAACAACCTTGTTAGGTTGGTATTAGTATCCCCATCTGATAGACAAGGAAATTGAGGTTAAGTAACTTAAGTAACACAGCTGCTAAGTGATAGAACTGGGTCCTGGCTCTTAATTGTTATGCTGTCACATTAAACACCTATTATATGCCAGGTTCCTTATATACATTCAGTTAGTTTTATGGCAGTCCTGCAAGGTGTAGGTTGATTTCTAGTTAATTACTAATTAACATTAGAAAAGTAAGGCTCAGAGAGCTTAGGTAACTTACCCAAGTTAATATAGAATGTGGAAGATTGGCATTTGAACCCAAGTCTATATGACTCATAACTTTTACTAACATTCTATGTCAGGGTACTAATTTGAGGTCCTGTATTTTATATTACGTATTTAGAGTGCATACTTAAAACAGCAAATCTCAAAACTTCTTTCAGCTGCCACAAAGGATGGGTAATGTTCATTTGTTCTGTGTTCTCCAGTGAGTGTATACAAGATTATAATTTTCTACTCACTAGCCATAACTTCACCCTTTTCCCATTCATGCAAGTATTTGGAATGCAGATGAGTGACATTGTAAAACATTTAAACAAGGAAATCATTCTTCGAATTTTGATTTTTTAGATGTATATATTTCTGGCAACACAGCCTCACATCTGGATAATGGTAGTATGGGTGAAAATGACTATTTTCAAAGGTGTTTGGTGATTT